ATTCAGGGTGACAATAAAAAAAAATAATAATAATAATAATAACCGATAACAGCTTATAATACGAGTGATCAAATGTTAATATATCAGCCTCAAATGCGGACTTGATCAATAATTCTCATCATCGGTTATAATCACTTATCGTGTTAGTTGCACTTGGATTGTTAAACGCTAAAAAACTTGTGTAAAATTTCTTATACATCATATGGATGCTTTTTAAAAAAAAAAAAATTAAAATAAACCTCGAGACTTTTTCGTATTATTCAATACGCGTTTCATATAAAAATTATCCATACCAAAAGCACACGTTTGAGCATTCGTATTTGGGAAGCACCAGTCGGAATCCCGGCCGAGAGCGGATCTTCTCCAAAAAGTACTCGGCCGCCTCCAAGGCTCTGTCGACGGACTTTGCCAGCGCAACGGCCCCTCGAGCTTTCCACATCAGCCAGAACTTCATTGCGTCCACCTGATGAGATTTTCGAGACATATCAGATAAAGTCAATTTGACGGATCATTGTTCGATTCGACAGTGAAACTACTTTTTTTTTTTTTTCAAGAATTGGAGGTACCATTTTAATAAGTATAAAAAAAAACAAAAAAAAAAAAAAACCTCATCTCTATAACAATATGTTACCTTCCTGCCGCACTGGAGGCTCTTGTCGCCCGTGTCCCAGGAGACGTCGTAAAACTTGTCCTGCTGAAAGAGGTACTTGGCCTGGGCGCAGTTGGCCTCGTGCAGCAGATTTTTCCCCTTGACGAGGAACAGCGAGCACTGAAAGGGCGCGCCCAGCAACTTGTGCGGATTCCAGGACACCGAATTCGACCTGCTCACGCGAAAATGTTACATCCAAGTCAAAGTATAACGAGTGAACATTCACGAGTTGTGTTGATAAAAACAAAAACAAAAAATCTTACTTTTCGATTCCCTCGAGACGGTGTCGATACTTATCCGACAGCAGCAGGGTACCTCCAAGACAGGCCTACGCGTCGTTAATTCGTTTCCATTAGTTCAAAATCGCCATATATCTACTCTTGTACGCTACTCGAGCATACGCATCAAAGTATACACGAATATATTCAATAAATATCAAAGATATAATACCAGTTATACGTCATTATTTTAGAAATAAGTTTTTATAGAACTACAACTCGTTTATGTTTATACGAACTTTGTACTTAAAACTGTGTTTTTCTCGACAAATATACAACACTCCGTAATTATATGTACGAGTCGATAGTATATATAAGTAATTAAGTCAGATAGAGAGAGATCAAAGACCGCGAGTGTGCGTCGCGACAACAATACTCTTTATCGCGTCATTTGCATGATTTTT